TATATGACTCTGGTGCGCCTGCAACTGGAGTATTGTGCTCAGTTTTGGGCCCATCATTACAGGAAGGATATAGCCAGGTTAGAGTCAGTGCTGCATAGGGCCACAAGGTTGGTGGCCCGTTTGCAGAGGATGGGGTATGAGGCGAGACTGAGGGAACTGGGTCTCTTCAGCCTTTCAGCCTGGAGAAGAGGAGACTCAGAGGGGATATGTTGGCGACATACAGGTATGTGAGGGGATGTCACATGGAGACGGGTAGAGACCTGTTCTCCCCTGCAGAAGAAGGCAGGACGCGCTCCAATGGAGCAAAGCTCAGGGAGCCAAGGTTCCATTTGGATGCCAGGAAGCACTTCCTGGCAGTCAGGACCCTGAGGGTGTGGAATGGGCTTCCACGGGAGGTGGTTGAGGCCTCATTGGTGAGGGTGTTCAAAGACAGGCTGGACATGCACATGGTGGGCATGTCGTGAGTGGAGCCAGCTGGAGCCGGGGGTCAGACTAGATGGCCTGGGAGACCCCCTTCTAACTCACTCTCTTTCTGTGTTTCTATGTAATGGCGGACACAGAGGAAGCTACCTCAAGGAGCCAATTTTGGGTATCATGAAAACTGCACTAAATTCGTATTTGCGTAATGCTTTTATTTACAGCTAAGAGTTACTTATTTACTTACTGACCATTAACTGTACTGAGAGCTCTGCGCTAATGAATGGGATATAATTCATTCTGAGACATTTGTAGGGAATGGGATAGAAAAGCTTTAAATAAATGAGTAAGTCTAAATAAATAAGGGAAAGGGGAGATGTGTGTGTGATTTTTCTACCTCAGTTACATTCTGTTCATAACAATCTGACCTGTCTTGAGTGTTATCTATGCACTCTGACTTGCAGGAAGGGCATGATTCATTACTTGTCCTTATGTGGCCAAATTCCTCAGGCCAGGAGCTGTGCTCGAGGGACACAGGCATTCAAATATACAGAAAGCCAGCCCATCTATTTGCCAGCTAATCACATTCACCACAGAACCACCTCATGTGCATCTTTCTGTCTTACTGAAGGTGACACAACAGCTTGTTGTGTGCTATGTGGGAGCAAGTCCAACACCGCTGCCAGGGAGTCCTGGGTTCAAACACCCACTTACTGAGCAGCAGTCACTCTCTCACAGCCTTAACCTACCCTCTTCAACCTCATTCTGGGCTGGATGGAGACAACCCACTCTCCCCCTCAACACCCCAGTTGTGCTTTCTTGTGTTTTAGGAACTGTGGCCTTAGCTTTCACCCACACTCCACAAGAATCGCCTGTGATCACACAAGCTTCCCACAGACACATCCTCAGCTTGCTGAAGTGCAGCTTTGCTCTTTGGCAATCCAAGGATTCCGGATGTGGTAACATTCCTTACTGACAACACAGGGCAACTCTGAATGTTTTTTGAAGGATGGAGCCGCCAGAGCAATAAATTGCAGCTACAGTCTCAAGATTTTTATCTTCCAACTGGAAGAGATCAGGTTCTTTGGCTCCAATAACAGCACTGGGCTTCTCAAACTGCCTCGGGCCTAATTGCCCAACCCTGCACTGAATTGCACACTGTCTGAACCCAGGGTCATGACTGTCAAATTATTATCTCCATCATTCACATACTTCTGTGCTACAGAAACCTCCACTTCCAGCCAAGACACGCCCTCACTATGCTCTCTACCAGCAGCGCTCACCAATTAAGAGCCCCCATGCAATTTCACCCCCTTCACTCCAGAAAAGTACTGAATAGCATTGTTTTTTTGTCCTGCAACACTTCATTGCTTGTGGAGAAGCAGAAATACTAGGGTGTTTGGCTCCCCACAAGCCAGTTAACACTTGTGTTCAGAGGCATTTCCTGCCACAAACCCAAGAATTCAAGCAGCCCAAGGGCAGACAATGGGGCTTGAAGGCAGCTTCTCCTGTTTGCTGTGCTCACGTTTCCTGGGGCAAAGAGACCGAGGAGACAGTTACGTTTTGTCATCAAGAAGCAGTTACTACATTTAAGGCATTAAAAGTCTCTGCTGCATTGCCAGAAACTGGTCTTCTTCCAGGCACTGACCTGGCCAAGGCCTACTTGGCTTTAACTACATGAACCCTCTCACACTCCCTCAGTCTCATTCACTGGGCACATTTCAGAACCAACAATTTCAAAACACTGTAGAATTAGACAGAAAACAGAACAGGCCTGGGAGTTCTCATATTTCAGAGTAACATTAGCTGCGGGCAACTAAAGGCTTTTAAGGCCTCAGTCATGAGGAGAGTTAATGTGTGCAGCCTTCTGAAAAGGCACCATGTTCTTGTCTCTTTGAAGCACACTGCAGTTGCAATTCTCTTTGCTTCTAGGTTCATGAGATAGTCCATGAGATAGTTGGCCCCTTTTGGGGAGAACTATGTGGCACACAAGCTGGTAACCCAGTGGAGAGGGAGTTACCAGGGCTCCAGCCAAAGTAACTTCCTTTTAAATAAAGTTTAAGTCACTAAAATGTCCCTCCCTTTCAGAGCACTTTGTGTTTCCCACTAGCTCCCGGCAAGCCTTAGTCCCAACCTTCCCAACCTGACACCCTCTAGATGTTCTGGACTTCAGCCCCAGGTAGAATGCCAGTGGTCAAGAATGCTGGGAGTTGTAGTCCAAGGCATCTGAAGGGCACTAGGTCAAGGAAGCAGCATTGGCTAGATGGGTCTCACTGCATACTGGTTGCCTCTTAGCTGGGCAATACCATACAAACTAGTAATCTGCCTCATAACACCAGCACCAGCAATGCTTCTGGACATACAGAAAATGCAAGTGAGTGTAAACAATGCCGCAGTCATGCAATGGAGCAGATCAGAGGACAGGGCTTCTGGGGAAGTCCAAGTCCCACCCACCCTCACTTTAAGGTGAATCCCTGATAGGGAAGCATGCACATGCACATACAAACTTACTTGGCCCTTTGACTGTAACCTTGAGCTCCCCACTGCCAGCGCCTTTGGTGTAGACCTTGAAGTCCGCCGTCTCCTTCACCCGGACACCCTTTGGTTGCAGGCCTCTGCCCACAGCCCGGCAGGCATTGGGGTTACATGCTGCAGCAGCAGAGAGGGGAAGGTAGGTGAGTGGGACTACCACCATGCAGGCTCCATCTAGAGCCAGATGAGAAGCCAGTCTTTCAGACTGTCACTAAGAGCCAGCATGGTGCAGTGACAGAAGTGTTGGTCTAAGAAGTGCCTGCTTGGCCATGAGGCTCATTGGCTGACGCTGGGACAGCCGCTGATTCTCAGCCTAGCCTACCTCACAGGGCTGTTGTGAGGATGGAAAGTGCAGGAGGATTAAGTAAGCTGCCTTGGGCTCCTTCAGGGAAACAAGGTGGGGCATCAGTACAATAGACACCTTCAAACGAAATCATGCTAAGCCTTCTGTTCTCTCCCCTACTGTGAAAAGGGACAGTGAGAGTTCAAGCCAAGGTGGCTGTGCTCTGGGGGAAGAGCCGGCATGCACCCTTGCCACAGACCCCCACCCATCCCTGCAGCGTGAAGTACCATTGGCCCTGGGTCCAGGCGCCGAGCAGATGGCAGGAGATGGGTGCCAGCAGAGTCCCAGGAAGATGGCTCCTCAGAGAAGAGAGGACAGAGCAGAGAAGAACTGGCCAGGACAGGAGGAGGTAGGCAGAAAGGAGAGGACAGAGGTTAGCGCAGGACAGAGCATCTCCCCCTTCCGGCCACAAAGAGGCAACCAAGCAGAGGCAGTGGGGTTAAGGACAAGAGAGGCCTGCCAACAAGCCTGGCAAGCAACAGAGGACTCACCCTGGCCCACAGTGACTGTGTAGGGGCTGCGAGGGATGGGAAGCCCCCCAAAGGTGATGTAGATGGTGTAGGTGCCCTCCAGCGTGGGCTTGTAGGTGCAGCGGTATGTGCTGTTGCCTTTATCTTCCAGTTGCTGCTCGACCGTCCCTTTCTTGCCCGTAGGATCTTGGATGATGACCTCAACCTCGCCAACACCTGCCCCTGTTTTTTTTGGGGGGAGAGGGAGAAGATGGAGAAAATGGTACAGGGGTCACAGGTACTGTTCCCTTGCTTATCCTTTGCTCTATAATTGGATTTTAAAGGTTATTTTCAAAACATTTTAAGACTCTTCCCCCTCCATAACTCCTATGGAGGTGGTGGCAACAGACCCAAAGTCCACATCTTTCAGGAGAAACCCCAACCACCTTCATTTCAGCACAAAGATACATCTTCCTACTGCCAAGAGCCTTGACTGACCTTGGCCCCGGGGCTGTGGGTTCTAATCCCAACATCTTTCAGGACAAACTGAAATATTTCAGCGCCTCTAGAATGTAAGTCTACAAAGACCAGCATTCCTGACCACTGGCCATGTTGGCTGGGGCTGATGGGGAAGTCCAAAGCATCTGGAAGGCATCAGGTTGGGAAAGCCCACTCTGGCTCTGTCTTAAAAGCAGCTTTGGGTATGGAATATTCTGTGATCACTGGATTCCTGGGAACGGCACCTTTCAAAAGTAAACTTCTCAGCCTCCCATTTTTGAGTAGATGCCAAGCTCCAGAAGTCAAAGCTTCATCAGGAAATGATGGTTGCCTATGCTAGCACTTCTTGCATAAACTTAGCACTTCAATGTATGCCTGACACAGCTGACCATTGGTCATATTTTTCAGCCTGCAGAATCCTTGTTAAAATCCTCCTTTTATTGCAGGAACACTGACCAGTCCCCACAATTTGAGAGATCCAGAAACAGAGTTGGACAAAAAAAAAAAAAAAAATTAAGAATATCCATGTAAAGACTGTCTCCATGCCGCACTGTCGGGCTGGTTTTAATAACTGTTTTCTGGAAGGTGTATGAGAAGCTTGATCAGACAGTGCTTGCAGCTGGCTGGAAGGGGAGGGACTTTAGAACTGCTGCTTAACAGGGGATCCAATCCCATATTTTAGATTCAAATGCTGAGAATGCCACCCCCCCCACAACACAGTACATATCCTCAACTCAGCTAATCTAGTACAGTGTTGGGGAGAGGAAGAAGAGATAGCTGAATATACATTTTATACTGTCCTATGCTAAATGCAGAATTAAACTTTGGTACAAAGCTCAATATCCTTAAAAAAAAGTTCCTAGTCCTTATGGCTTCAAGCATCTACATGACCAATGCTTAGCGCAAGACTAAGCCACTATGGCAGCTGAAAACTGCAGTGGAAAAGGTCTGCCCTGCATGGGTAACAAAGCTATTTAAAAGAGGTATTATACCATTTTTGCTTGATCTACACAAATTAGGCAGATAGCAACCTTTTAAACTGCCCTGGGCTTACCATTTATATAATTTCATTACATTTGGTGTTTGCTGTATCTGTGAGATATACGAAGTCACCCATCTCACAATTAAGAAGAAAAGCCCAACAAAAGTTTCAGTTTGCAGTTGCTTTCACACCAGAAAGAACCATGCTGTGAAACACCCTGTTCAGTGTGCTTTGTTTCAAGCTTCTTCCCTTTGGCTTATGGTCAGCCCTATTTTTGAAAGAAAATATACATCTGTCTAGAAGACCCCTTTGGTCCGGTGACTGTGGGAAGCAAGTTCTGCTCTATTTAGCACCAGCCAGGCTGCAGCTGGCATTTAGCCAGAGATGTTCACGCTTGGAGGATGCAGCAAGCGATTCACACAGACTGCTTAGAAAGCAGCTTTTGACAGTGTTCATCTTCAGCCTCGGATGACTCAGAGGCTTTTCACACAACCAGCAATGCATAAAAAGCAACACCAAGACAAGAGATCAATTGTTTGTCAAGGTCTATTGGGACAAGGAAATCAGCTTTTGCCTGAAGGGAAAAGAACCACCACATTTCAAGCCAGGTAAGTAAAGAAACCGGTTCCTAGGAGGTTAACATTCTTGGATAAGATGGGATTTGCAGAGATAACTGGTCTTGTCCAAACACTGTTGTATATCCTGGATCATTGTTTAAGTTTGCATTCTGCCAAGTTCAATAAGGTATCACAAGGTAGGTTAGACTCTCCACTGACTTAAAACACATGGAAGATTTGCTCAAATGTTTGGAAGGAACCTTGCAAATATATCCCTAATATTAACAACAACTGGGTCTTTTACTGTCCCTCTGCTCCACCATATGCTGGATGAAGCAAGCATAATATTGACCACAAGCACTGCACCTAAGAAGGATTCCCTCCAGCCACTCCCTAGAAACTGCAGCCCATTTATTATACCAGGTAACAGGCTGGCAGCTGGGAAGACTCACTTAAAAATCCTGTCTAAACGCAAGCAAACTAACCCATCTTCAGACATATGAGAAAGCATGAACTTGATGAATGGGAGATTCGGGGCTGATAAAAGGAAGGATTTGATCACTCAGTACTGCATAGTTAAATTATTTGCTGAAACAAGCTGTCCCGATGGCTACTGACTTGGGTGGCTTTAAAGGGGTGGAGGAAGTGTTCTTCTCCAAAAATTTCTATATCAATGGCCCTAATTCTGAAAGCTGTACACTACATCCAGTAACAGAGGCAGTAGCCCTGTGTACACAAGGTGCTGGGGAACATGGACAGGAATGCCTTTGTACTTGCGTCATGAGTTTTGTGTAGGCAGCTAGTTGCTGAACTAGATGGGCCTTTGATGATTTCAGCTCGGCTCTTCTTATGTACTTATGAGGTAGAAATATTCAACATTCTTGTGGTGTTGATGCTTCCCAAACCACCACTATTCAATCCATATAGAGAGATGTCCATAAGAGATAAACTTCTTCATTGCCTTAAAAGTCTTCAAATTCAAGAGCAGGGATGCACTGAAAGCAAATCTCCACATGTTTTGGACTTCAACTCCCAACATTCCATTGACCATGCTGGCAAGCATTTTGGGGAGCTGAAGCCCAAAAATGTCTGGAGAGCTGCCTTCTGCCCACCCCACTTCATAGCAAGCCTTTGACAATCCATTGCATGTATCACTTTGGCTGTTTCGACTGGCATAAATCATTCCAACACCCATTCAGTCTCCCTACCCACTCACCAGCGGTGAAGATCTCAAAGTAGGTGGTCTTGTTGGCAATGTTGCCGGTGGGCTCCAGGCCTGGGCCCTGGGCAGTGACCCTGCTGGCATCACCCTGCGCTTTGTCCACGTTCACCTCAAAGGGGCTCTTGGCTATGTGCTGTCCGGCAAACAGAACCGTCACCTGCAGCAAGAGAAAAGGAAGTTAACAGTAGATGGAGAGGTCAAGGCCCAGTGCTCAGATATACTTCCACTCACCTATGCTCAATAAGGAGTCTTACCTTGTGGATGCCCGTCACCTTTGGCACATACCACACTGAGAATGTCCGGTTCTTGTCATTGTTGGCAATCACTTTCGCCTAGAAGACATTGGTTGCGTTTCATACAGGAGCTGCCTTTGTATTCCTGACAGGTCCCTCAGTTCCCTCACCCTAATCCCCAGCAAACCTCACCATTCACAACAGGCTTCCCAAACTACTCACTTCTTCACGATGCCCAGCAGGATCCTCAACATATACCAGCACTTCTCCCTGGCCAGCACTGATGGTTTCTACTGTGAATTCAGCCTTCTTCTTCACCATGTTGCCAGTGGGCTCAATGCCTGAAATAACCAGAGGCAGGGCTGACTGTACTGCCCCACTTTGGGGTTCCTGGCACCAAAGCTAGTATGGCAGAGCAGCCAAAGTGCCCTGGCCATGAATGCATCTCAACTCTAAGCACAGCTAAGGGTGCTCACCAATGCTTGTTTAGACAGAGAGGAAGTCCTATGACACCCAGCATCCCCACTGCCAGCCTTGGGCAAGTCCTACCCTCCATTTACTCTGAAGGTGCATATGTCAGTTTATCCAGAAAAGGAGCGTGGCCTCCCAGATATTTTGGCCTTCAAGTTGTTCACCCTGATCTAGAAGAGCTCTGAAGCACTGTACTTGTCAAGAGTTCCTCAATGTCATACACGCCTAGATCTTGCCATTAACGCAGCACTGGAGTCCAACTTATCCAAGAAAGCACCAAGTTACACATGGACAGCTTAACTTACGAGGGTGCAGGGAAACTAACCATCACAGGATAATCATGAGCATGTCTCAAGAGAGATTTTAAAAACATGATGATCTTCATCTTCTTCAGCTCACCTGGCCCATAAGCTCTGGCTTTCTTGGGGTTCAGCTTGGGCCTCAGGGGGGCTCCTGGCTTTAGTTTGGCTTTGGGGAACTGAGAGAGGTATGTCATGACGGAGTGTTCATCCACATTGGGATCCACAATCTCTTCAGGAGTGATCACCTACAGAGAGAAGAGGAGAGGAGACAACTAGCTGTAGGATAGGGCAAAGCTCTGGATACTTCTGGCAGAAGTACAGAACCAACACGTAATATAACTTCCCACGAATGTAGAGTTTTGCTTTTTACAGCAAGCTTCTAGCCAACAGAGCGGCAGAGGAGCTCTTGAAAAGGCCTGTTCCAAAGTTTTGGGGAGGAACCCAAAGTGGATAGTCAGGGGTTAAGGGACAGTGTTTCAACTCTTATTGTCCCTTCCCTTGGTTGGAAGTATGAAAAACTATGTACTTCCTCTATTTGCTCATTTAACAGTGTGCATGCATGTACCACACAGATCAGGTATGAACCACTTACCTGTGGGATGCCCAACCAGTCATCGGCTTGCTGCATAGCCTCTCGGGCATTGTTGACAGGCTTGCTAGCATCCCACGAATCCCAGTCAGGGCACAAACCTGTTTGGAGAGAAGTCCCATCCCTCCATTAGCTACAAGCACTAGAAAAGATTCTGCCAAGCAAAGAAGTTTTTAAGAAGGTAAGCAATATCTGCACTTCCAATCACTGTAACACGGCACCCTCTAATTCTAGACATCCCCACCAACACCAAGATGTGCTTTTGTAGAAAAGGAAGCCCTAAACCAGCACATCTGGGACATTGTTAAAGCTGACAAATTCATGAAGCACCATCTGTTCCAACAGTTTCATTGGCTTTTTTTAAACTGTAAGTTCAATCTGGCTTCTTCATTTCTCGAACCAAAATGCCTCTGCTGTGGTCAAATGCACCAGGTAAGGACTAGGCTATCTAGAGATTTCCCAGCAGGAATTATTGATGCACAGAATCAATACCACAGACAGTCCATGATAAAGACAGGCTCATATGAAATTGAATGCATGCACAGTGGTGTTAACTTGTTGGAAACTCTGGAGCATGGGCCTGCAATCATACAGGCCTGCCATCTTCCCTAATGCTCATCCATCTGGCTACAAGCACCAGCCCTTGGCTGAGGATGCTTGTACAGGGTCTACACTTAGTAGGCGAACTCCCAGCTGCAGCCAGTGTTTTGAGCACAGAAAAAAAGGCATTCTCCCCCCCCACCCCCACCACACACACAGGTGGTTGGTCCTTTCCATACCTGGAGCACAGCTGTCCACCAGCGCTCCAAGCGCCCGGCCACTCTGCCAGTCCTTGCTGAAGTTTGTGATGGGCAGCTGGGGCAGTTTGTTTTGGATCCAACCCAAAAGTCGCTGTTTAGGGGTTTGCTTCTTGGCCTCCTCGTCATCTTCCTCATCCCACATGGGCATTGAGATGGAGTAGTGCAGGATCAGTGTCCAGATGAGGCCCAGGATCAGCTTGAGGTTTCCATCCACAATAGCTTTGCTGTCTGAGTGGGCAACCAAAGTACAGGTCAGTATTGCCAAGAAAATGATCCAACCTGTTTCCCTGCTACAGGGTAGCTGGGCACAGCCTTCCTTTTGCAGAAAGACAAACTTCTAGGCTCTTGGATTTGGGGAATATATGGAAAAACATGTGGACAGCATGCGACCCAGAGGCTCACTAAGAAATGTAGTCCCGTTCTCACTTTCCAGTGTATTTGGTCAGTAAAATGCAAAAGGCAGTGGAATAAACAGCTTCAAGTATTTTACTTGTATCTACGTTATAGATATGCTCCTGCCCATTCCTCATGTTCCTCCTCACCACCGATTGTCACATCAAAACCTGATGTGCACTGTTGCCAGAGTCTCAGAGACACTGAAATTCCCATGGGAGGCAAAGAAACCAGGAACTCCTAGGAACAGTGTCCCTGTTAGGTTTAGTTCCAATCCATCTGCATCACACATCGAATTAAAGTTAGTCCACACAAAACCAACAAACCATGGGAATACTTTTGTATGTACATGAAGGTTGGGTGGGGGAGATACAACTGGAACTGGCTAAAGAAGTTAAAAAATGAGCTCAAGAATTATAATTAGTTAAATTCAGGTTTGCAGAAGTCACAGGCAAATGGGCAAAACAGGTATGTTTCCATGTGCCCAGTTAGAGGGCTGTTCTCTTCTTACCCAGGGCTCCTTTTGTGCTGCTGATGGACCCTGCATAGTATCACCAAGCTGGCAGCAAAATGTTGGCATGGGTTACTAGTTTTTGTTGACTTGTCAAGTTTTAAGTCCATGAAGCAATTAGCCAGGATCCTAGGCAGCAGTCCTGCCAGCTCCTGGCTGAGCTGCTAGAGGGTGGGAACCAGGCCGGGCCTCCCCCCCCCCCCACCCACCCAAACCAGGAGTGAAAAGACAAGGTGAGGTAAACCAGTTGCTGCTCTCTATCTGCTAGGTTTCTTAATGCCCATTCTGCTTGCGGTACTTTTCAGAACTATCAGATTATGCAGAATAATTTAGGAACCAGTTTGACAGCTGTTCTAAAACAGGAGTTAAGAGTGTGAGACCAGGATCCAGGAGACCCAAATTCAAATTCCCCACTCAGGTGTACTGCTCATGGTGATGCCCTTGCATGATTCATTATCCTAAGAAAGGTTGTGACAACCCGCCATAGTTTGTGATTGTGCGTGGGTTACTGCAACATGTGAACAGGAAGCACTTCACCAAAGGTGGCTTGTTTTTTCAAATAACCCATTTGCAGTCTCCACAGCTGCTGCAGATCTGTTGTCACCCATGGTGGGTTGTCACGTGGGACAAACTGAGAAGACGTGATCCACCATGAGCAAGACACTGTAGCCAGTGAGCTGCCTGGCAAAAGGAGCAAAATCACCTTGCTAGTCATTGTTAGCCATGCCCAAGCAGCACCTGGGGGCAGCAGCTGCCCCTTCTCCCTGCTGCAAGCACCAACTGACTTTGACTTGTGATCATGGCTTGTTGCTTTAAACTTGATTTCTGGGGGTGGATTGGGGAAGCTTGCTAGAAAACCAGTGTCTGCATCCACTTTAGTGGGCAGCAATGAGCTGCATCTTCAAACTGCCACAGCAGCACTCTGGAGGGGCCACATATGGCTTCCTCGTATTTGCACCCAGAGATGGTACAGCTTTCCCCACTGGCCCCTTGGTGCAATGGGGGAAGTCCCAGCTTCAAGTGGAGCAATGTGTAGGTGCTACCCCTTGCACATCACCCAGCTCAGGCTAGAAATTTCTCCCCTCCTCGTTTTCAATGACCGGCCCCCAGAAGGCAAGAAAACAAAGGCACGGGGGACTCTTGCCGAGGAGGAGGCTTCCTTCACAAAGAGCACCCCCTGCTCTGCAAGATCCTTCTTTTTCAGGCACTTTGAAGGGGCTGTCCACTGTTGTCCAATAAGGGAACCACAAACGCTGCAGCATTTGAGATCCTCTCATGGAACTGGTTTACAGAGACAAGCTGGGTTTGTGATCCCAAAATCAACTGGCAATCACAGTGGGGAAGATGAAGAAGAGACTCATTCTTCCTTTTGGTGTCCCCTGCAAAACCACCTGGAAGAACAAGGGGGAAGGAAGGAGCAAGGCAGTCTCACCGAGCACAATCACCTGCCATGGGTACTTTGCAAAGCAGCCAGCTCGCCATGGGCAACACCCACGATGCATGGTTGTGATCGGCAAAAAGGGCCTTTCTCTGCATAACCTACCTCACAGGGTTGGTTGTGAGATTAACCTAGAGATGGGACAGCCTCAGGCATGTCAGACTGAACTTGCTGGAGAGAAGATAAGGTAATAAAACCGAAGCAGGGGCAAGCAAAGATAAAAGTTTAAAGCACATTTTATTTCTTCTCAAAGATCTCTACTGACATAGGTGTAGAAAGCCAATATGACTCTACTAAGGTACCCTAGCATTCCTAGGGTAGCCAAAATCCCAATTATTTAACAATAGCAGAAACAAAGTTTCTCTCACCCATACTGTACTGCTGAAATGAAAAAATAGGGATAGGGGACAGAGGTAACCAAGAAAGGATTGACCTCCATTCAGTTTTGGTAGCCAAAACAAATTTGGAGGCTCAGGGTTCTTAAATTCTGCATATATTTATTTTGTACCAGACTCTGGTTGGTGGATGTCAAGGTTCCAGCAAAAACACATCAAAAAAGTGGATTCTTCAAGATATATACTTGACACTTAAAAAATAAAGAGGCATCAGATTCCAGAATGAGCCATTGCAGATAAGACACCAGACATAACTTCCACATAATCTGTCTGACTCAGGCCAAGAATATTCTCAAGATCCACTCACTCTCATATAAACCTGCCCCAAGGACACTGGAGTTACTCGAAATAGGGGCTCCCTGTGACTTGATATTAGGCTGATAATAACCAAGAACAAGGCCACTTCAGAGCTGGTGCCCCAATCTGGATCACCCACCCAAATTTCAAGCACCAGGTGCCAACACGTGCCAGCTACAAATGGTTTTATTTCCCTAGGCCTTCGATCTGGGTGGTTAGCACCTCTGCTACTGTGGGGTTTTGCTTTTAACCAATGATGCAGGCCACTTATGTATATTTTCAGTTTGCATCATGAAGCAGAAGTAGGCAACTTGTGGCATGTGAGATACTTTCATCCTTCTACACCAGTTCTGCCGGGTAGCGCTGTTGCAAGTGCTGGACCAAAATTTCCTGAGGGCCACAAGTGCCCACCCCTGGCCTATAGAGATCTGATAGAGCACGTTTATTTTACTTGTTATTTAGTAAATTAAAAAATATTTGACCTAAAAGCTTCAAATGAAAAATGAAGTGTGCTATGTTACACTGAATAGCCATTATGACAGGAATACTTGTGAAAATGTTAAGACAAAATAGCATGCACTTCCCGTACATGGCTTAAATTAAAAACAGAACAAAAATACAGAGAACTGTGGACACACTAACATACATACAACTGGAGGGCCTCCCAAAACCATTTGGAGACCACAAGAACATATGGGGCCAGGACTCTGAAGGCCTAGTCCTCAGCACGCTCCCCCATCCACAGCCTGCATAAAAAGCACTGTGCCTGCTGCCCCTCAGGCAGTACTGGGGACCTTGGAGGAGGGGGGGAATGGGGAGTGCCAGTGGGTGGGGAGAGGAAGAGGTGGGGGTCTCAGACTTGCACTTATTTCAGTCAGCTTCCCAGCCTCCTCCCCTCCCCGGCACTAAATCCAGATGGCTATTAATAACCAGAACAAGTGCTTTCCAAGTTCACAATTACTGCTCTCATTCCAGACAAAGGATGTGTGAACCCTGCAAGTTCAGAGCCTTGCATGCACTGAGGGCGTGAGACATAGTACTGAGCCCTAAATTCAGCAGCCCAAGGAATTGTGAATAAGTTGACAATCACTTTCTGTTTCAGCAAAAGTTTTAACTTTCTTCCAATAAGGTAAGTGGGAGATCTTCAGTCTCACTGCCATGTATTTACTGGTTCCATTTCACTCAGACATACATCTATGCTAACATATGCATGCAAGGGATGATCTCATCTGAAAAATTAATGACAGCTTGAGACTTGTCATGCTTGCCCAATATTGTCTACCAGTAGCATACATCTTTACTAATGAACGTGTCAAACAGAATTTTTATTAGATTTATATTCTGCCTTTTTGAAGGAATTCAAAGCAGCTTACATCATTCACCTTCCCCTGCTCAAAATATCAGCATCATTCACCTTGACCAGCTTATCCTCACAACAACCCTGCAAGGTAGGTTGGGCTGAGAGTCTGTGACTGGTCCAAAGTTGCCCAGTTGGCTCCATGGCTTAACAGGGACTAGAACCCAGATCACCTGAATCCCAGTCTTGTGCTCTTAACCACTACACCACACAGAAACAAAATATGGCAAAACCTGTTCACTCCACATCACTGGTTTTAATGTTATTTGATCAGTTTTGGTGGTTATTGTATTTTTTTCCTGTGACTTGGAAAAAGTGTAAAACATTAAGTGCAAAATGCTTTGCAAGGAGCCAGTTCAGAGTTAGTGGCAAGCCATCAAGTCTTGCACAATGCACAGCTAAATGCCCAAACCACATTCATACAAAACACAAAATCAGAATTCTTCCAAATCCTGGCCTATCATCCATAAGCAAATGTGTAACTACACTCTGCCCACTTGGCTCCTCTTGAAAGTAGGAGCAGCCAAGCTAGCCAAGAAATGCTTATTACATCCACAGGGAGTCTCCCAACTTATTGTGATTTGAATGAGCCTCAGTTCGAAGTTGGTTGCAGAATCCAGGCTTGTTGGAGGAGCAAGTGCCCCAGTTCAGATTAAGCTTTTCCAGCCTGGTATGTTCCTGGTTAGTTTAGTTGCTGCACTTGCAGGAGAAACAAAGATGGAGCAAGCCTTGCTTGTGAATGATAGGCCAGGATCCTCCAGAATTCTAGCTTGATGTTTTAACTAACAGAGCTACGATGCATGCACTGGCCTTCTAAACAAGCACACTTCCACTACA